CCGTACATAAAATATTGTGACTCAATTTTTATTTATTTATTTATTTATTTTTCCATAATATGGAGGGGAAGTAATAATAGTTTGGACTGTTTGATTGCACAAAATTTCCATGGAAGTAGGGAATTGAATTCCATTTTCCATTTTTTTGCATTTTTGATTGGCCAAATTTTCTAGGCAATTAGTCACGTGACCCCTTTCCCACCGTTTTGAGGAATTGGTTTTCCCACGAGTTTGGTGGTTTTTTTTTTTTTGACAATTGAAATAAATTCTATCCCTAATTGTAAAAAATTCTATTCCTTTGATTGACAATTTTAATGAAAAAATAAAGTTGAAAGAACACCAAAAGATCAAAAATTTCAATATTTTTCAGATGAAAAATTATATTAATCAAACATATTTAATTGATAATATTCAGTAAAAATAAGTTTTAGGCAATTCAATTCCTTAAAATTTATTTTCTTTCCATCCAAATTTCATTCTTACTATCAAACAGATCCTTAGTTTATTAACTAGCACTGAATTTCATCGATCTACTATATTGATTGTTTAATGAATTGCAAGTAGATCATTAAAGTTGAACAAATTAGGCCAAAGTCGTATTAAATATTTGAAAATCTATAACTTGTGTGACCGAATATGTGGACTTTACTCCACTTTGTGTTGATAATAAAGTTTGACAACAGTAAAAAAATGTTATTAATTACAAAAATATTTCATTTGTCATAAGTTTAAGCACTATATAAGAATTTGAAGAATTTGTCAAAAAGAGAACCAAGTTGAGATAGAAAATGCGCCATTGCTTTTCATCCCCAACCTTTTGCCGTCCCGTTCCAAACGTTCGAACACTTTTTCTAGAGAACTTTTTGCCGTCTCCTTCCCAACGTCCCATTACTTTTTCTATTTCGTGAGTGTCTTTAGCTCAAGAAACTCTATGTATTTTGGTGCAATATTGATGGTCTATATTATATATATTTGATAGTTAAGACGTTAATTTTTCCTATTGAAAGACTTCTATTATCATTTGCTATTGAAGACTAACCATGCCAATGAATCTATGTAGAATCTTTTGCCGTCCTATCCCCACGTCCCACCACCTTTTCTTATTCGAGAGCCTTTTTAGCTCATGGCACTTTACTTATTTATTTTGGGTGCAATATTGATGGTCTGGAATCCATACATTTGATGGTTAAAATGTGAAAATTTTCTATTGAGAAGACTTCTAGTCTTCTATTATCATTGGGTATTGAAGACTAACGATGTCAATGAATCTATGTAGACCTTAAGTCGTCCCCTTCCCAACGTTCCACCACTTTTTCCTGTTTGAGAGTCCCTTTAGCTCACAACACACTACCTATATATGTTGGTGCATTATTGATGGTATGGAATCCATACATTTGATAATTAAGACATAGTTTTTCTACTAAAATGACTTTTATATAATTGAAGACTAACGGTGCTGATAAATTTATGTATTGAGTAGTTTGTAAACATTGTATTTTTATTCGCAATATATTTAAGAAAATACTGGCAATCATTGCTCCAAATCCAACAACACTGACTACTTGATAAGGATACCTTTTGTTTCTTCGATTAATTTTGTTAATTATATATATATTGGCATATTATAATCATTAATATAACAAATCATAAATTGTTGAAATAAGAGTCCTTATGGCATATCTATTGAGGGTAAAGCTATTATTAATAATAACAATTTTTTTTTTCCTTTTTCAAAAAGAGCTCTAATTGAATAACGTTGATCATTTGATTGTCAATCTTAAAAATACTTGAAGATTAAATTATCGATTGTTTGACTCTATTTAGACTTTAACACGGATGTCCCATGGCATGTCTCCCTTGATTAAGAAAAACACTTCCACTTATTTTTCGGAATTAAATTATTTTACATTTTTGTTTGAAAAATTGCAGTGTTGGTCCCCAATTTATGGTTTCTAGAACAAGTTGGTCCCTCTTTTAAATGTAGCATTTGATCCTCAATCTTACAATTTAAAACCCACTTGTCATTTTCTTTCAACAAATAGAGAGAATTTCTTTACATAGATCCAAGATGTACTCTATTAAAAGGTATTAAAATCACAAAGCCTTGGCACTTTATACTTTGTAGGTTAATGACATTTTTCATATTTGGAATTTGATAGTTAAAAGGTCAAAATTTTCTATTGAAAAGACTTTTATACCATCATTTTCCATTGAAGACTAACGGTGCCAATGAATCTCTATAGAACTTTTTGCCGTCTCCTTCCCAACGTCCCACTACTTTTTCTATTTGGTGAGTCTCTTTAGCTCACGAAACTCTATCTATTTTGGTGCAATATTGATGGTCTACATTATATATATTTGATAGTTAAGACGCCAATTTTTCCTATTGAAAAACTTCTATTATCATTTGCTATTGAAGACTAACCATGCCAATGAATCTATGTAGAACCTTTTGCTGTCCCGTCCCCAAGTCCCACCACCTTTTCTTTTTCGAGAGCCGTTTTAGCTCATGGCACTTTACCTATTTATTTTGGGTGCAATATTGATGGTCTGGAATCCATATATTTGATGGATAAAATGTGAAAATTTTCTATTGAGAAGACTTCTAGTCTTCTATTATCATTTGCTATTGAAAACTAATGATGTCAATGAATCAATGTAGACCTTATGTCATCCCCTTCCCAACGTTCCACCACTTTTTCTTGTTTGAGACTCTTTAGCTCATGGCACTCTACCTATCTGTTTTGGTGCATTATTGAAATTTGGAATCCATACATTTGATAGTTAAGACATCAAGTTTTTCTACTAAAATGACACTTATATAATCATTTGTGATTGAAGATTAACGACGCTGATAAATCCATGTATTGAGTAGTTTGTAATCATTGTATTTTTATTCGCAATATATTTAAGAAAATACTGGCAGTCATTGCTCCAAATCCAACAACATTGACTGCTCGATAAGGATACCTTTTGTTTCTACGATTAATTTTGTTAATTATATATAAATTGGCAGATTACAATCATTAATATAACGAATCATAAATTGTTGAAATAAGAGTCCATATGGCATATCTATTGAGGGTAAAGCTATTATAAATATTAACATTTTTTCCCCTTTTCAACAAGAGCTATAATTGAATAACGTTGACTTAGCAATGACCTCAAAGCTTTAGGGGGTTCATCCAAAATGAATAAACCTGGCGCATAGCTTTTCTACCTGTGGAAGATCTTTTCTATCTTAGTCAAATGACCGATTCATTCCTCAATTGCAGCAATCATTTGATTGTCAATCTTAAAAATACTTGAAGATTAAATTATCGACGGATCGACTCTGTTTAGACCATAACACGGATGTCCCACGGCATGTCTCCATTGATTAAGAAAAACACTTCCACTTATTTTTTAAATTAAATTATTTTACATTTTTGCTTGAAAAATTGCAAGTTGGTCCCCAATTTATGGTTTCTCTTTCAACAAATAGACTGGATTTCTTTACATAGATCCGAGTTGTACTCTATTAGAAGGTATTAAAATCACAAAGCCTTTGGTACTTTATACTTTGTAGGTTAATGACATTTTTCATGTTTGGAGTACAAAATGGTCAGCAAGTAAAACTTGACAAATCTTGGTGTTGATTGGTGCAAAATGCCAAAAGTCATCGACTGAAAATTGTCAATAAATTTTTTATTTTAAATTGGGGAAGCTAAAACTAAACCATGACCATGTTTGGAGTAAATTTCATATGTGGTCATTATTGAATTTTCATGTGGTTAATCGAATAATAATTTTTAATTTATATTAAAATTTTACCACTCCATCATTTGTCTTAACTTAAATTAATAAAATTTATTTGATAGCTATACAACAATCAATCTTTCGTTGTCTTTACGTGAGATGCCAGTCTACCAATATGTGATTCTGTAAAAATTTTAAAATAAAAAATTACGTCTATTAACCTTTCAATTTGAAAATATTATCACAACTATTATTATACCATTTTCGTTTTAAGGTGCTACATAATGATTAAGGGTAAGATTAGTTACTATATGACTGCTAATTAATTTAGTTTTATAATTTTTTGGGACGATACACTATGAAATTTGAAATAAAATTGTAGTTCCATTACCTAATTGAGATAAACTAAAGTTGAGTGATTCAATTGATATTTCGCTATAAGTTCACTTGAAACTCACGCTAGTCACAAGTCAATACACAAATGTAAAATGTTATCTATCAATAAATGAGTAATGTAATTTAGCACAACTGGTATTTTAACACCAACTTATACGGTATTAATCCGACATTAAATGAAAAGTACAATTAAATGAGTCACTTAATTTTACTTCTATCACATATCATCAACTAGACTGGTGTTATAACATTATTCTTAATAAATAGACTTACCATTTAATATCATCTTCAATGCTGTTAACACAATACTAATACTAGGCCCCATTTGGTAGCTATTTTTTTCAAAATGCATTTTTCTCTCTTCTTTTCAACCACACATTCTTATTAAAATAATATTACACGTAAATCAAAATTTTTTCCTTATTTCTCAATCACACATTTCACATCAATTTACTATTCTAAAATGCATTTTTACATAAAAATGCATATCAAACACCATTTTTCAATGAGAAATCTTTGCTCCTTTTTATGTGAAAAATATTATCCAATATTAGTGTTGTTGAGCACTGGTCTTAGTGTCAACATATTATATGTAATATTAAATGGGTTATAATTCCTTGTATTTAATTAAATATGTAATTTAATGCTACTGATATTGCCACCTAGATTAGTTTTAAACAGCGGTGCTAAATAACACTAGTTTTTATAAGTCTTAATTACTCTCTCACTCTTTATAGATTATGCCTTAATTACTCTCTCCTGAATTTGCACATAAATATCAGTTACATGCATATTACTGCCCCAGTTCTCTTCCTCATTGTTATACTTTGTCATGAAGATGAAAACCGTGGGTTATTTGAGAAATTAGCACACAATTCTTAAAGAGATCGTGATTTGAGTTGATGGTCGGACTTAAATACTTGTAGAGATTATCTTGAAATCTTGAAAAGAATCATTTCATTTTCTGGGCTCACAAAAACATCTGGTTTGATTTCTTCACGTGACTCAAACGTCAGTATCTCCATTTTTCTTAGCACTAAGTTTTCTCTCCATTTTCTTGGCTTTTACTTTCTCTCTACCTCACAGAATTTCAGCGAAATTTGCGGGGGCTTTCTTGGAAAATTAGAAACAGAGTTCATGTCATTTTCCTAGAAAATTGAAAACTCATAAAATGTATTGAAACCAAAGACTAGTTCTCTCTCTCTCTCTCTCTCTGTCTGTTTATAAATTTTGTTGGGTTCTTGATTTCAGAGTTGTCCAAGTTTTCCTGAAAAAAGGTTAATTACTTTTGACGAAGAAAAGAAAAATTACAAAGATGTGTGGTTATTCCCCAAAAGTCAAACAATAGTGATCAATAGAGTGCTATATAAGGGAAATAGAATCCTCTTAATTTCTCTCTTCCTCTTTCCCTTTAATTTTCTGTGTCTTTTCTCCTTCTTCCGATATTCCTCTATCTAGGAGAGAGAACCAGCGACAACCCTCTCTCTCTGTTCGAAGAATCATAATGTTGATTTTTGACAAGGTTTCAATGCAAACAAACCTTGACAAGGTTTCAATGCACACAAACCTTGACAAGGTTTCAATGCACACAAACCTTGAACGCTTTTTGGATTGTGTAACTCCAGTTGTTCCATCCCATTTGCTGCCCAAAGTATGTTCTTTTCCTTTTTCATTCTTAAAAATATAATTTAACGATATAATTGTGTCCACGTTGATTGTGACAGCCCTGCTTTCTGCTTTTACATTGAATGTTGCTGATATTTTGGCCTTTTTGTTGTTTAATGATTTTGTGAACAGAATGATATGATGAATCTGAATAGTTTATGGCATCCATTGGAAAGAGAAAACTTGAACTATTTTACATTGGGTGATCTCTGGAATTGTTATGATGAATGTAGTGTTTATGGGGTTGGAGTTCCAATTACTCTTGATGATGGCCAAAGTTTAGTGCAGTATTTTGTTCCTTATCTATCTGCTATTCAAATCTTCACCAGCAATTCTTCTGTAAACTGTGTAAGGTAATCTAACTGTGTTCATATTTTTCGATTCATATAGAGTTTTTGAGTTCCATCTCGAGGAATAGCAAGCGGTTATATGTTGGTTATTATTATTTTTTTCCCTAGTTAAACGATTCAGGATTTTACATTAGCAGAAATTAGTATTTGATTCAATTTGAGTTGGTAAAAGTCAAAAATTTTAGTGGTTGAATTAGAGGTAATAAAGTTCTGTTTTTATTTGTTTTGGTGAATTTATTTGTGAATTGTGAAATAATTATTTATTTTGGATTGATGATATGAAATAGGGAAGAGACTGACTCCATAAGTGAAACAAGGGATTTCTTTAGTGATTCATTGAGTGACGAGAGTGACAGCGAAAAGCTTTCGAGATGGGATGGGTCGTCTGAGGAAGGATTATTAGAGCACGATAACTCTTGGCATTCCAATGATAGATTGGGTATTCTTTACTTTCAGTACTTCGAGAGAAATTCTCCTTATGGAAGAGTGCCTCTAATTGACAAGGTAACTCCGCTTTCTAGTTCAAGTTTATGGGTCTAAATCTTGATGATTTTTTTGTATTCTCCCTTTTCATTAAGTTGTTAACTGTATTTGGAGACGGAAAAAGAGAAGCAAATCGTTATGGATATGATGTAATCACTTTGAAACCTTTTCTTCGTAGACATCTGGCTTTGAAAACGAATAAACTCACTTCTTTTTATGCCTTTTTTCATGAAATTGTTAATCTTGTTCATTATATAAGAAAATGTGATTCCTTGCAAAACATGATGTTTAGTATATTTTCATATATTTTGACTCCTTTAACAGATCAATAGCTTAGCTCAAAGATACCCGGGATTGTTGTCACTAAGAAGTGTTGATCTTTCGCCTGCTAGCTGGATGTCTGTTTCTTGGTTTGTCTCTATTTCTATTGAACAGCTTTTGTATATTGTTACTGATTCTTTTAACCAGTTTACACTTATAACCACAAAAATGGAAGACGGTATGTCTAAATTTATTGATGTGAATGACATTCAGGTATCCGATTTATCACATTCCAATGGGAAGAACCATTAAAGACTTGTACACAGGCTTTCTCACATACCACACCATTTCTTCTTCTTTTCAAGGTATGCACTTGGATCAAATGAATTCGGACTTGTTTGTATTTGACATCATTTTAAAACGAGCGTCAATTATGATTGGCAGATTTGGACCTTGAGGACAACCCAGAGAGTGTTGAAAGCAAAAGAAAGGAAGGAGAAAGCATCTCTCTCCCTCCATTTGGTATGGCCACTTATAAAATGCAAGGCGATGTGTGGATCTCGACCAAGAATGGCAGGGATCAAGAGAGGCTGGTATCTCTTTTAAGTGTCGCAGATTCCTGGCTAAAGCAATTAAGGGTCCAACACCATGACTTCAACTACTTTATGGGATTTGGGTTGGGTAAGACCAGAACCAACGATAATTTTTCGACCCACATAATACGGACCAAATATTAGAATCTGGTTTTTTGGTTTTTCCCTGTTTGTGTTGATAGGAAGTATGAGAATTAGTGGCCTTAGGTTGGGATGAGCATATGACTCCTCTTTATCGATATTTTAGCATTAGGATCTGATCTGGTTGTTCAATGGCTTCATTCTGGTTTTAAGTTTTGCAAGCGATCAGTGTATGATGTATGGGGAACTGAACGAATAGAAATAGAGATGGGGGGAGAGAGAGATAGAGAGATGCCATCGGTGCTTTTGTAACTCTGAACTAATTCAATGCATTTATGTAGAGGAGAGCAATGATTGTTGCCCGTGCACATCTTGTTTGTTCTGTAACATTCATGAGCTCAAATATTTTTTCTGAGTATGGTGAAAGTTGAAAGTACATTACATAGTTTGAAAGAACCCTCTATTTTCTTTTATGCATAAATAAAAAAGTAAATTAAAAAAAAAGAAGAAAAAGTTCTACTTAGTACAAGGATCATTGCCAGATTCACATGTATGGATATCATTTGCAATTTCTAAGAAAAGATAGAAACTGGGGTTGGCGGATCGTTGCCAGATTCACATGTAATGATATCATTTGCAATTTCTAAGGATAGAAACTGGGGTTGGCGAATCATTGCCAGATTCACATGTATGGATATCATGCAATTTCTAAGAAAATATAGAAACTGGGGTTGGCCCATTCTGAAGACTTTTGTTGTCCCTTAAAATATGATTTTTGATATAAACTTACGAAAGAGATAAAATTCGAACCTATTTTTCATGTGATATTGCACATTGTTCACAAGCCATAAATATCTTGAACTTATCTTCTAGGACACATGCTTTAACATTTCATCCTCAAATCGACGTTCATTTCTAAATTTTTTTTGGTCAATTCTTTCAAATATATAATGTTTCTCATCGAAAGTGTGATCAAATTTTCTCTTTCTTTTCGAACTATCTAAGTATGCTTGTCTAGCTAGCAAGACGAGAGTTTCCAGACCGTTTTATTGGCATAATCTTCTTCACCATCGCCTATATTTATCTAAATGTCATTTAAGAAAAATTGTCATGGTAGTTTGGGTTTAATTGGATAAGGCATTGATCAGATTGTTATTACACCATCCGAGTGGTTCAATATTAAAATCTAAATCCTCCCATGACTTGAAGCAAGTTGAATTTTGACTTTTTAGCACAACCAACTTAAAAAATTATAGTTTGCCCCTCTAGGACTGGTCCAGATAAGACACAATTTCATTACTAATTATCCCAAAAAAAAAAAAATATAAAATTAAAAAAATAAGCAATATCACATTGATTACAGAGTGTAACCCACTAACCATATTGAAACATGAAACCACAGTGTTACACACAAATGCACATTTGTCAAACCACCATGAATCAGTCTCTACGCAACACATGGTGATTGCCAGTTTTTGTCTTACGAGTGTAGGATAGTGGTATGGCACTCTTGGTAGACGTGTTTGTGTTGCTTTCTCGAACGCGTATATACTTACTTGCATGTGAGGTGTTGGGTTAAATTTTGCGACAAGCATAACTCCTATACCATTGTTAAGTTCAAATCCAGAAGAGATTGGCAATGATAAATTTATAAATTAAGGCGCGTGTTTGAAGATATAGGTAATGAGCAGAACACAGAAGAAATGTAGGCTGAACAGAAAATTGAGGCACAATTTTTGAAAGTTGACTTAACTATTTACGGTCCAACATGTTCTGAAGAAGCAAAGCAGCTGAACATGGACACTTCTCCGTTAGAATTCTACATTAGACGACTGTGAAGTGATGTTATAGCTGTAAATTAGCTCTTTGTTTTGTATTGTTAGCTATAGATTGAGATACTAATTTTCAGAGCTTTTGTAATAATTAAGAACTCATTTGCTTGAATTCATTTTAAGTGAGGAATACATTGTAATTATGGTCTAATTGTATTGGTCACCAAACCATTTTCCTATTTCAATTCTTGTTATTGTATCACAGCAATAGGCTCAACCTCTCTTGAATTGATCTTAAATTCCCACCTATCTTCTTACCTCCCTGCACCTGCCTTAAATTCTCTTTTTAATCCATCATGGCTGAAGCAAGTCCAAGACTCAAAACCAACACACAACTTACTGATGAATCATCCTACCCATACTTTCTCCACTATGGTGAGAGCCTCAGATCAGTCCTAATCTCACAGCCCCTTACACCCCAAAATTACCATGCTTGGAGTAGAGCCATATATATGGCTCTATCTGGCAGAAACAAGCTAGGCTTCACTGATGACACAGTCAAGAAGCCTGAAGAAACTGATGAGAAGTATCCACAATTGCAAAGATGCAACCACATGATCTTGTCTTGGCTTATGAATAGTCTTTCGCAGGAGATAGCAGGATATGTCATATATTCCGACTCAACATCACAAATCTGGGAGGAGCTCAAAAAACGGTTTCTAAGTTAAGCAATAACCGAATTCTATGCTTGAACAGCATTTGGCAGTAACCAAGCAAGAGAAGGCACCAGTGAGTGTCTATTTTTCGAAGTTGAAACTCATGTGTGAGAGGAAATATTGAGATATAAGGAACCAATTAACTGCATGGTAACTCATTGTGGAGCTGTTTCCATGATCATGAAGAGGCAAGAGAGAAGACAGATTATGCAATTTTTGATGGGTTTGGATGAAACTTACAATGGGCTGAGGAACTAGATCTTTCTCAGGGATCCATTGCCACCACTTGACAAAGATTTCAACTTCATTTTACAATACGAAGCTAACCAGGAGCTGATCAATAGCAGCAACACCACTGTTGAGTCTACTACCATGTTCTTTGAACAGTTCAAAACTAGAAAATTTTTTCCAAGCAAGGACAGAAGAATAATTACAAGGGGACATGATCAAAAAACAAAGCTCCATGTAAGAAATGTGGTGGCACCAACCATTCCATAGACAATTATTGAGAGATTAATGGAAATCCACGCAACCACTAGTTCTACAAGGCCACTGCAACATCTGGAAAAGATTACAAACAGCGAGTCTTGCTGCTGCAAATGATCTCCTCAAGCCAGCTCCACTTTAGAACCCATAGGTAACCAACATTCAGACATGATAGGTAAAAATCCCATCATTTTCCCTGTTTCAAAAAGCAACTCCCTCAGCTGCATGTCAACTGAGGCTTACTCGAATTCTTGGATTTTAGATTCAGGTGCAACTAACCATATAGTTATTCATTTGACATGTTTACACATAAGAAATCCCTCTCGAACACGTCTGTTAGATTACCAAATGGTATTATGATTGCTATCACATATATAGGAACTATCCACATTTCATTCACTCTTACTCTTGACAATGTTTTGTATGTACCAAGTTTTAGATTCAATCTGATATCAACTAGCAAACTGACCAAAAATCTCCATTGTTGTCTTGTGTTCTTATTTGGTTACTGTTTCATTCAGGAGCTAGTCCATTAGAGGATGATTGGAGTTGTTAAAGAGGTGCACTTACTACCCACAGGAGAGTGACCATGAGATTGAGTCATACCAGCGCCTACTAGCTGCACATTCTCTTACTATTTTGAGACGAAACTATGGCACCTAAGGCTGGCACATCCATCAAACCAACATCTTGTTTTGTTGCATAACATGGATCCGAATATTTCCATTTTCTCTACAAAACACCATTGTGATACTTGTTATATGGCTAAACAAACTCATTTACCTTTTCCATCCGATCACAAGTTTGTTGAGTCATGTTTTGATTTATTACATATGGATACTTGGGGACCATTTTTTGTGGCCTCTCTCGATGGAGATCATTATTTTTTAACAATTGCTGATGATCATAGTAGAAATATTTGGATTTATCTCATGAAGAGCAAAAACCAATCTTGATAGTTAATATAAACCTTCTTTAACCTCATTGAAAATCAATTCCACTACAAGATTAAAGCCATTCGAATAGATAAAAAAAAAAGAGTTTAAAATGACCGAATTTTTTCTTTGAAAGGAATAATTCACCAACAAAGTTGTACCTATACTCCTCAACAAAATTCTATAGTAAAAAGAAAGCATTTACATTTGCTAAATGTGGCAAGGGCTTTAAGGTTCCAAGCCAATCTGCCATTGAAGTTTTGGGGAGAGTGTGTCCTTATAGCCGCATACTTGATCAATCGTACTCAGTCACCAAATCTACAGAACCAAACCCCTTACCAAATCCTTTTTTCCAAATTCTGACCTATTTTCACTTAAGAACTTTGGGATGTCTATGCTATGCATCAAATCTTGACCCTTACCGATCCAAGTTTGATTCAAGGGCTAGAAAATGTATTTTTATAGGACATCCAAATGTGATTAAAGGCCATAAACTCTTTGACCTGAAAACTCATATAATCTTAGTTAGTTACGATGTGGTTTTTTATGATGAAATTTTCCCTTTTAAACACCACACTGACATGCCCTCTCTTTTGCCTGCTTTGACCATATTCACATTAAATAATACCACTATTATAAAGGTTAAACCCCAACCTTGAGGGCACCCACCGTCCCACCCCTAAAGTTTTGTGAGGGAAGTAAATCGAGGGGTGTGCCCCAACAGGTCAAGGAACAAGAACTGCTTGTAAACTGCGCTTACAAGGAGTCAAATTTCATGTCTCAGGAATCGAATCCCCACACTGCAGCTGTCACAACAACCAGTAGACACTAATACTGAAGGAGATATACAGCTTTCATCCAATACCTCTAGCAACACACCACATTGAATTGGAGATTGCACATATTCCTGCTCTGAACCCCAACCTTGAGGGCACCCACCGTCCCACCCCTAAAGTTTTGTGAGGGAAGTAAATCGAGGGGTGTGCCCCAACAGGTCAGGGAACAAGAACTGCTTGTAAACTGCCTTACAAGGAGTCCAATTTCATGTCTCAGGAATCGAATCCCCACACTGCAGCTGTCACAACAACCAGTAGACACCAATACTGAAGGAGATATACAGCTTTCATCCAATACCTCTAGCAACACACCACATTGAATTGGAGATTGCACATATTCCTGCTCTTCCCACTATAGAAAATCCCAGTTCACCGGACCTTCTTCCTATCCAAATGACAGCAACTCTGCTCGAGCTTAGAAAATCTACCAGAAATAGAATATTACCCCATTACCTTCAAGATTTCCATTGCAAGCTCGTGACCTCTTTAGCAATACCAAACGAGCCTCCTCTTGACAAGTCATCTGATAAGGTAATCCTTATACACTCTCTTCTGTTCTTGATTATACACATTTGTCAACATCACATTTGAAATTCACCTTAGCAGTTAGCCTTCAACCCAAGCCCACTCTTATGCCAAAGCAATGCCATACCCTCATTGGAGGATTGCTATAGTGATGAAATAAGAGCATTAGAAGAAAATTAGACTTGGGTACTTACACGGCTCCAGATGGGAAAAAAAACTATTGGATGCAAATGGGTGTTTAAGACCAAATACAAGGCTGATGGAAGCACTGAACGACACAAGGTGAGATTGATTGTAGAAGACTACCCTCAAAGGGAAGATGAAGATTATTTTGCGACCTTCTCACTCGTGGCCAAGATGTCGACTGTATGTTGTTTCTTAGCCTTTGCAGCTTCCAAAATTTAGTTCTTATTTCACCTAGATGTCAATAATGCTTTCTTGTATGGTGTCTTGGATAAAGAAGTGTACACGTCTTTACCTTCGGGATATGGCTGTTCGCTAAAATCCTATACCGCAAGTGCATGGGTCGCGTTCAAGTAATAAAGTGGACCTTTTGAATCCAAGTATCATCTTACAGAGATTGTATTAGTTTAAATTGAAATTATCTTCACCTTAACCGAAACAATAGAAATTCTTATTATTTTCGCTAATTAAATTATGATTTAATAATCTACTTATAAATATGAAGCCTAAATTAACTAAATTAAATGCGCGATTATAACTAAATGCAAGTTTTATAAAAATATGATAACGAAATACGTACTAGGATCCCGAATCCTCTTATATCAATCCCCTTTAATCCAAATTTTATAAAATTGACAACACGATTCAATTATGAAGACCAATATTCCTAATTTGTTTAACAATCTCTCTCGAGTAGAATTAAGTCTATTTTCACATGCGATCCGACTATATTTCTATGACGGATGCGAACACATAAAAATGCATTAAAGATTTATGAATACTTAATGATCATGTAAAGTATAGCGGTATATTTCTATCCCCTATCGAACTTTACGACAATTAACATAATGTCTAACTTATTTTTCATCTCTCAACGGTAAAACAAGCGATAAATCTCATACAACTATTGCGCCTATAATTGTAGAGAAAATAAAATCCATGCCAATCATTCAATAATTAAAAACGTGTTTTAACGTCAAAATAAATAAAAATTCAATATTAAAGGTTCATAATATAAGGTTCATCGCAAATCCTAACACAAAATAATTTAGTCGAGCATAATGTGAAAAATAAACCAAGAAAAGTGGACAAATATCACCAAAAATCGACCAAACGTGAATGATTCCTCAAAGTTGTTTTTCAGCCGCCGACTTTTGTGTTCCAATTCCACCTCCCAATATGTTTTCTGTGTGTGAAAATATGATGCAATTCAGCCCAGTGTCAGCCCCTTTTCATGTGCCATTTTTCTGTTGGTGTATATAAATATATGAATTGCAGCTCCCAAATTCCTCCCAGCAGCTGGCTATGTTTGACTACCGAAAATGGACTCCAATTCTTGCCCTCCAAGCTGCTACTTTATGTGGGAATTGTGTCTATGAAAATCAACTCTTGCAGCCACAATTAATTCCCACCATCTGCCTCCTTCCGTCTTCTGTCCGCGCGTGTGTGTGTATATATATATATATCAATTGCAGCCCTTTCTCCTTTTTAATTGCCCTTAGTTTTACAAGTTGCAATTAATTTTAGCCCAAGTAAAATTTAAGATGGCCAATTGATTTTGTTTTTAACGGAAGTCCGTTGAGGCCCAAATTAATTGCAATTTATTCTCCAAGGTCTCACTTCATCATAATTAATGCAAGTTAGTCCTTTTCTCCATTGTTTCCTCAATTTTGATCCTCCAACTTTTATCACGCGAGTTTTAGTCCACAAACTTCTCTTTAATGGCCAATTGATCATTTTCTTTTCCAATTGCTTCAAAACGGGTCCCTAACTAAAAACAAAAGAAAATTAACACAAGTTAGGTAAGAATTAATAATTTGACAACATAAAAACTTAGTTATGTAGTCCGAATAAGTGCACAAAATGCACTTATCAAACACCCCCAAACTAAAACATTTGTTCGTCCTTGAACAAAACAAAATAAAACTTAGGTATAACACATATCTAACATAACAAATTATAAATAAAAGACTCAACGTTGAACTACTTACCATAAGCTTCAGGTTTGAATTTAAGCAATATTTTAGAAAGATCCAAACAATATCAAAAATAAAATTATTTGCTTATCCGATGCTCGATTTAGTGTGTGTGTGTGTGTGTGTGATTAGCCAACATTGAACTAACACCTATATTAGAATACAACCAATCAAGTGTTGTTTATTTATTCATATTCCCAACCCTCTTGTGGTCATTTTTCCTCACACCTCTCGTGTAACAATCACCCCTTATGTTTTTTTCTCCAATCTTGAGGTATTTCTAGTACATAAAGGGTTCCTAAAAATCAATATGATGCATTTTTCCGCACAAGTGTTCAGAATCAAATACTTGTAAACCTAAAAAGAAAGATAGTAAGTTTTTCTCATAATCACACCACCAATCTCTAGTATTCAAATCTCAAAGTCATTACTAGGCACATCTCACTTTTGATAATTTATATCTCAATTTTTTTATTTTTTTTTATTTTTTATTTTTGACATCTTCTGTAAAGACTTCTCTTCATTAAGTTTTTTAAATGACCCCTGTAGCGAGTTTTAGGTCGATAACTCCCAAGTTAGATGATTATAGGGTATCAGGTTTAGATACCCTTGCAGGCTTCTCCTGTACAAGACTTCTCTTCATTAAGCTTTCTAAATGACCTTGTAGCGAGCTTTAGGCCGATGACTTCCAAGTCAGACGACTATAGGGCATCAGATTTTTAGATACCCTTGCAGACTTAATAACTCGAGTAAAAAAGGCTACGAAAATAAGTAGAAGATGTGTCACTTTTTCTTTTGATATGAGAATCCAAGTGTCCATTCATTTTTTTTAATTTTTTTTTGTTTTGCTTTAACATCTTATGTGCAAAACTTCTTTCCATTAAACTTTCTAGATGACCCCTGTAGCGAATTTTAGGCCGATGACTCCCGAGTCAGATGACTTTGGGGCACCAGGTTTTAAAAACCCTTACATGCTTAATCACTCGAGTCATAAAGGCTACGAACAAAAGTAAAAAAGGTATGATGATCAGTGCCCGTTTTAGACTTTTTAACTCAAACCCTTTCAATAAACGTAGGGATCCGAGAATTCCAAACCATCACACTTCTATGAAGACAAGCACTAACCTTCTCACCCCCAAACTGCTTTTTTTGCGGTTTGGTTTCTAAATAAGGTATTTGGGAATTTTATTCAAACCTAAGTCAACAGCATCAACAATTCCACAAAAATTACATTGTGTACCAACATAAGTGATAAATCAATATGGCTATGTGCTCAAAGAATCAAATCTAACATGGATAAGTTTTAAAGTAAAAGTACAAGTTAAGATGTTATCCAGCATCTAACGAAATAGGCGGCAAGTCGTCAACGTTACTAGACAATTTTTTTTTGAATGATTTTTTTAACAGTTATACGGACTCGATTAGCAGTTGAAAAGTATGTATTCTAAGTACCCTAATACTCACCTATCCCCAAACTAAAGTACTACTTTGGCCCCAATGTAGAAGCAAAAATTAAAAATAAAAAAAATAAACAAAGTAAAGGGGTAAAGATTAGAAACTCCCTGGGGTAGATGTGGATGCGAGGAAGGATTAGGCTAGTCCAATTGGTAGTCATCACGACAACTACAACTTTTCTTTGTTGCAAGGCTTTAATTTTCTCTTTCAAGCATTCAAAATAAATATTAGTGATTGCATATAAAGTTTAAATATTTGCAATAAATTCATACCAAGAAGGATTGAGATTTAGGTACCACCTTAGAGATGCATATCACATCAATGGAAGCTCAATAGAATGCTAAGATGTTAACGATGAGCCTAGACAACCATGTCTAAATAAAATAAACTTAATAAGTAAATATGCCTAAGTTACGGATGCAGGTCTGAAAGTACTACTTAAAATGTGTTTCAAACAACCCAGGTAATTGCATGAGTTCCTAAATTAATACAGTCCCTAAAACAATATGTAATGCAATAGTTAATTAAAATAGCAAAAAGGGATAGAAGAATGGGTTGCCTCCCATTAAGCGCTCGATTTATAGTCTAGAGCTTGACTTTTTGTTCATTCATTCCGGTGTTGCGAGTTGAACGGTTGATTTTTCTTTCGAAAATTCACCATTCCAATATGGCTTCAACCATTGTCCATTAACCTTAAAGGTTCCTTTACTTTCGTGAGTGATTTCAACTGTCCCATAAGGAAACACTTTGGTAATGGTGTATGGCCCTGACCACCTAGACCTCAATTTACCAGGAAAAAGTTTGAGTCTAGAATTGTACAGCAAAACTTGTTACCCAACCTCAAACTTTCTTCTTTGAATGTGCATGTCATGCCACTTTTTTGTGTGCTCCTTGTAGAGTTTTGCGTTCTCATAGGCTTCCAATCGAAACTCATCCATTTCATTCAACTGAAGTAATCTCTTTTCACCGGCGGCCTTTAAATTAAAGTTCAAGTTCCTGACTGCCCAATAAGCTCGGTGCTCCAATTTAACTGGCAAATGACATGCTTTCCCATAAACCAAACGACAAGGAAACATGCCTATAGGTGTTTTGAAAGCTGTTTTGTAAGCCCACAAAGCATCATCAAGTTTCTTAGACCAATTTTTTCTTGAAGAACTCATTGTTACCTCCAGTATCCGTTTTAATTCTAGATTGGAGATTTCAACTTGACCGCTGGTTTGAGGGTGATAAGGGGTAGCTATATGATGTTAGACGCCATATTTAGCCAGCAAGGACTCAAACTGACGATTACAAAAGTGTTTGCCCCCATCACTTATGATAGCTCGGGGTGTGCCATAACGGGTGAAAATATACTTCTTTAGGAACCCAATTACAACATTCGCATCGTTGGTTGGCAATGCTACTACTTCCACCCACTTAGAAACATAATCGACGGCGACAAGTATATAATGATTCGAGAATGATGAAGGAAATGGCCCCATAAAGTTGATCCCCCACACATAAAAAAGCTCTACCTCCATAATGCTATTCAGAGGCATCTCGTTCTTTCCTGAGATATTTCCCGTGAGCTGACACTTATCACACCTCCTCACAAACTCAAATGTATCTCAGAATATCGATGACCAGTAGAAACCAGACTGCAGAATTTTAGCGACAGTCTTTGATGCGCCAAAGTGTCCAGTATAGGCAGATGAATGATACTGCTCGAGTATCTGAGGGATCTCTTCTTTAGGAATACACCACCTAATAATTTGATTTGGACTTCGCCTGTAAAGAATAGGGTCCTCTCAAAAATAATACTTCAAGTCAGAAAAGAATTTCTTCTTTTGATGGCTTGAATAGTCTGGTGGAATAATAGATTTGGCCAGATAATTCACTATATCAGCATACCAAGGTACATCCTCTACATTAAAAATATGTTCATCTGGAAAGATCTCAATTTATGTCCATTGATTTTTCATGTTCTCCATGCTCAAGTTGGGATAGATGATTAGCTACTAAGTTTTCACTTCACTTCTTGTCTCTTATCTCTAAATCAAATTCTTGCAGAAGTAATACCCATCTGATTAGTCTTGGCTTTGTATCTTTCGTCTATACAAACTATTACTTTTGATCCAACAAGATAAGATCGAAATTTATCAAAGACATAGATTACAGCTAAAAGTTCATTCTCAGTGGTGGCATAGTTTAGCTGTGCATCGTTCAATGTCTTGCTTGCATAATAGATCATGTGAAAATTTTTATCTCGTCGCTGTCCCAATACTGCTCCCACTGCGTAGTCACTTGCATCACACATTAGTTCAAAGGGCAAACTCCAATCTGGTGCAACAATTACTGATGCTGAAATTAACTTCTCCTTTAAAGTGTTGAAAGACAATAGACATTCTTCAGAGAAGTTGAAAGGGACATCCTTGACTAGCAGATTGCATAATGGTTTAGTGATCTTAGAGAAGTCTTTGATGAAGTGCCGATAAAATCCAGCATGACCAAGGAAACTGCGAATACCCTTGACTGAGGTTGGTGGTGGTAATTTCTCAATAACTTAAAATCTTTGCCTTGTCCACTTCAATCCCTTTAGCTGAAATTTGATGTCCCAACACGATGCCCTCTTGTACCATGAAGTGATACTTTTCCTAGTTTAGTACCAAATTTGTTTCCTTACACTGCTGCAAGACCAAGTTTAAGTGCTCAAGACACTCATCAAACGAAAAACCAAAAACTGAGAAATCATCTAGAAAGACCTCTATGAATTTTTCCACCATATCAGAGAAGATGGCCATCATGCAATGCTAAAATGTGGCGGGAGCATTACATAGACCAAATGGCATCCTACGACAAGCAAAGGTGCCGTAGGGACAAGTAAACCTAGTCTTCTCTTGATCCTCGGGCGCTATCGAAATCTGATTATAGCCGAAGTATCCATCAAGAAAACAATAATGTGAATGACCTGCTAACCTTTCCAACATCTGATCAATAAATGGGAGGGAAAAGTGGTCCTTTCGAGTAGCAGTGTTGAGTTTGCGATAATCAATGCATAACCTCCATCCCGTAACAGTTCTGGTGGGAATCAATTCATTCTTCTCATTTTGCACTACTGTAATACCTCCCTCTTTTGGCACAACCTGAACAGGACTAATCCATGCACTGTCTGAGATATGATAGATTATCCTTGCATCCAAAAGCTTCAAAACTTCTGCTCTGACTACCTCTTTCATATTTGGATTGAGTCTCTTCTGGTTGTCTATACTTGGTCTAAAATTATCCTCCATGAGAATTTTATGCCATGAGAATTTTATGCATGCAGATTGCAGGGCTGATCCCTCTGATGTCGGCAATAGACCATCCAATAGCTGTTTTATTTTCTCTGAGTACTCTTCGCAATCTCTCTTCTTCAAGCTTACTAATGGAGTTTGAAATAATAACAGGCAATGTGGAAGATTTTCCCAGTAGGCATAATGAAGGTGAGATGGCAATTGCTTGAGCTCTAACTCAGGGGGCCTCTGAATTGATGGCAAAGGCTTTGTAGGACCAGTGCCTAATTCCTCAACGTGTGGTTTGCGCTTATATGGAGGATTAGCTTCAAGATTTCTTGCACATATTTCAATCTCATTAGAATCAGATTGAGTAGATTGAGAGTGTACAATGCATGCCTCATATGGATATGGTGGATTATGCAACTGGAACGTATCATTTACTGCATTATCAATCACATCGATCTGGAAGCAACTATCTGACTCTGCTGGATATCTTATGGCCTTGAACACATTAAATGTGACATGTTCTTCACCAAGTCTCAAAATCAGTTGACCTTTTTGCACATTAATTAAGGCTCTACCGGTAGCTAAAAATGGTCGACCCAAAATAAGTGGAATATCCCTGTCCTCCTCCATGTCAAGAATGAGAAAGTCAGCTGGGAAGATTAATTTGTTTACTTTCACCAAGATATCCTCAATAATGCATCTTGGGTGCGTGATAGACCGATCAGCTAGCTGTAAAGTCACTGTAGTTGCTTTAGCCTCCCCCAAGCCCAGTTTCCTAAAAATAGATAATGGCATCAAATTAATACTTGCACCTAGATCACATAAAGCTTTATCGAAATAATAATCGCCTATAGTGCAATGTACAATAAAGCTCCCTGGATCTTTTAATTTGGGAGGTAGCTTCTTTTGTATTCTGGTGCTATATTCCTCTGTCCACATTATAGTCTCATATTCGTCTAGCTTGCCTTTGTTAGATAAAATATCTTTCAAGAGTTTGGCATAACTAGGCATCTGAACGAGAGCATCCGTGAAAGGGATGTTGATGTGAAGCTTTTTGAAGACCTCAAGGAATTTTGTATACTACTTGTATAACTTGTGTTTTTGCAGCCTCTGAGGAAATGGAATTGGTGGCTCATATGGTTTAGTAGGAGTAGTTGCCTTAACTCACGGTGTATTTGAACTCTCTTTGATAGATGTATCTGTTGTTTGTTCAGTCTGTTATGCATGCTCTTCATCAGTAGAATGTACTTTTTCCTTGTTTGCAGTTGGCCTCTTAACATGGAACTCAGGTAATTGGACCCCACTTCTAGTAGTAATTGCTTTGACATGTTCTTTAGGATTAACCTCTGTATTGCCTGGCAATCTACCTGGTGCTCTGCCTGATATAGCTTGTGCCATCTGTCCCATCTGAGTCTCCAAGTTTTTAATTGCAGCACTTTGATTCTGGAGAGTTGTCTCAGTCTTCCTCATAAATTGATTATTCGCCTCCATGTACTGATATGTCTTTTCCATGAATTTACCAAACATCTCTTCCAGGGAAGTTTTCTTCTCTGCTTGCTGAAACCGAGAACCATGTGGTGTAGTGGGATTCTGATTGCTCCAGGAAAAATTCGGGTGTTTCCTCCAACTAGGGTTGTAGGTGTCAGAATCTGGATTATTTTTGGGCGTTGACCCCCTTGTATATAGTCAACATGTTCCGTACCTTGTATAAGAATTGGACGATTTATTGTATTGTGATCCGTCCCATATTCTTCACAACTTACTCTTTTGGCCTGTACTGCATTGGTTGACTGTGACATGCTCTCTATCTTATGAACCAAAGAGTCAATTTTTGCAGACAATGCTGTATACGTATCCACCTTATAAACTCTCGGTACTTTCTTATGAACAACACGCTCAGAGGCCCACATGGCTGTGGTAGTTGCCACTCTCTCAAACAATTCCAAAGCGTCATCAATTGTCTTCATAGATAAGCAGCCATTGGATGATGAGTCCACCATGCTTTTATAAGATGGAAGTAGACCTGCATACAAATATTGGACCTTAAGCCTTTTACTGATGCCATGATGAGGGCACTTCCGAAGCATGTTCTTGAATCTATTTCAAGCTTTATCAAAGGATTCGATTTCTCCCTGCCGAAATATGGATATGTCATGCTTCGACTTCACAATCTTAGCCGGTGGGAAGAATTTGGTGCAAAATTTTTGAGCCAAGTCATTCCAACTGGTGACACTAGCAATAAGCTGTGAATCTAACCGTTCAAGCGCTCTATCCCGTAGAGTATGTGGAAATAATCTCAATTTGATTGCATCATCTAAAATCCCTTGATATTTAGAGTGTTGACACATCTCCAAAAATCGAGAGACATGTATATGTGGATTTTCATCGGCCTTGCCATAAAATTGATGTCCATTTTGAAAGAAATGAATGACATTGGTCTTCAGCTGAAAGGTTGGTTGTCCAAACGGAGGATAAACGATGCTATATTGGCTCTGAATAATTTATGGAGTCATGAAGTCCCCAACTAGCATGTTCCCTTCATTAACCATTGCTTCTTCGTTCACTTGAAAAATTGGATTATTTTGTCCGTTGGCCATCTCTTGTTGTTTTATTTCTCTTGCTTCTCTTTGCCTACGATGAAAAGTATGTTCGATTTTTGGATCAGTTGGTATCAATTCATTGTCCCTCGAATTTCGCATAAAATGCAAGAGAAAATAAAAGTGCTAAAACAACCATTAAAAAAATAATAAAAAAATAATAATAAAAGAAAAATTCGAATTAGTGCCAAGATAAATGAAATTAAACTAAAATACAATCCCCGGCAACGGCGCCAAAAACTTGTTAGCTAAAATCCTACACCGCAAGTGCACGGGCCGCGTTCAAGTAATAAAGTGGACCTT